TTCTTCTTCTTCTTCTTCTTCTTCTTCTTCTTCTTCTTCTTCTTCTTCTTCTTCTTCTTCTTCTTCTTCTTCTTCTCCTTCTCCTTCTCCTTCTCCTTCTCCTTCTCCTTCTCCTTCCTCTGGTCCACAAACCCCATTCCCTTCCATCACTGATGATGTTATCTAGTTGGGTAATGAAACGTCTACAAGAAAACAACCAAGCTCAGAGAGCACCAAGGATCCCTCATTTCAACCCTAAGCTGCAAATATTCTCCTTTATTGATACTGGACCAGGTCCAACAAGAACTGTGTGTGGTGAGGTCCTCTTGAAAGCAATGGAGCCGGACAGTCACAGCTGGTGTGAAAATAACCCCAAGCTTGAGACAAAAAGCGATGTTTCATTTTCCTGATGGTTCTAACGTCCCGTGGTAGGCAAGATGACTGCAGTAAGGAATATTCATATAATCTAAAGCAGTGTTTCCCAACCAGACAATTTCCAGATGTACGAACTTCAGCTCCCATAACTCTCAGCAAGGGCCGTCATGGCTGAGGCACTCTGTGAGTTACAGAAGTTCACACCATTGGCCCAGATTGGGAAAGAACTGATCTAAAAGCTTGAAGACTAAAAGCTTCAGGAAGACGAATAGGTGGAGCAAATTTCCCGAGCTGTATTAATCTGTAGCCACAGAAATAGTGCAGCAGCTTATGGCGTGTAAATAAATAACAGCTGTATTGTGGAATCTGTTTTTTTGTGAATGAAAGTAAAGCCCTGCCTGAGCAGGAGTCAGGAACTATAGCCCTTTTATGACTTGCGGACTTCAACTCCCAGAATTCCTGAGGCTGGCTCAGGAATTCTGGGAGTTGACGTCCACAAGTCATAAAAGGGCCAGGGTTCCCCCACTCCTACTTTAGAGGATGCAATAATTACTGCATTGAGTAACTGAACCGATCCTTGCCCTTTGCAAGCTGGACCAAGACTTCTGTTTTTACTCAAGCGTTGCTGCAGCATTGCAAGCAACAACACAAACAATGGGCTCTTCCGTACATTGCCAGCCAACCAGTCTACTCACATCTACTTTCTTTTGGTTACTGGCGGGTTAAAATTTAAGAGCAGCTAACCTTTGAAAAATGCCCTTACTTCATCTGCTGGCAGCCACTTCATCTCACACTTGGCAAGCAGCTTTCCTGCAAGCCACACAACTGACCCACCCCGATATCCCACAGAGGGGTAGGTATCAAGCACGCAACTCTTGCTGCGATATTCAGCCCACCACGTCACGTCATTTTCCTGCGTTGCCTGAAGGCATTCTGCAAACATTGGCAGAGTGACCACTTCGTTGGGAGGGTTAAAAAAGATTGGAGGGGGAAATAGTTTCGCAACCAGTTGCAAAGGTCAACATTTACACACATCCAAGATTAAACTGTGAAAAGGAAGTGTGGTTCAGAACGGAAGAGGGATTCTGCTCTTTTCACAGCTCTCATAAACACAGTGATTTATCCTTACTCTTCAATGGCATTAGTCTACAACATTAGTCCATTGGGGTTAGAATCGGTGGTAGGAGCATCAACAACCTCTGATATGCAGATGATATCATTGCTGGTGGAAAGCAAGGTGGATCTGGAGTGGCTAATCCTGAGAGTCAAAGATGAAAGTGAAAAAAAAAATTGGGCTTTGCCTTAACGTCAAGAAAACAAAGATAATGACTACTGCAGACTGGGAATGCAGGTCGACAAGGAGACCATGGAAACACTGAAGGAATTCATCTCTCTGGTCTCTAAAATCAACCAAACTGGTGACTGCAGATCAAAAGGCATATAGCACTTGGAAGAACTGCAACATTTGGCATGAATTAACATTTGGAAGAGTAGAGGCAACAGACTCAGAAGCCACTTGCTGGAAGGAAGGAAGGAAGGAAGGAAGGAAGGAAGGAAGGAAGGAAGGAAGGAAGGAAGGAAGGAAGGAAGGAAGGAAACCACAATCTGAACACCAGGTTGACATCAAGATGTTTGCATGGCTTTTTGAGAATAAAACTAAGAAATTAATTGCTTTTCTCTGGGATGTTTGTTTGACTTCCTACAGACAGCCTACAGAGATGACCCTAGACTTCTGCAGGGCATTTGTCTCCCTCTCTCTGCCCACTAGGATAGGGAGGGGTGGGGTCATCCCGTGAGGTTATTGACAGAGAATTTGGAAAACTGCCTAACTAAGTTGGGGAATTCAAGTTGCGCAAGACGCAATGATGTTGGCTTTGGATACTTTCCTGAAAGACAGATCTCTTAAAGACAATACTCCTAGACCAGAGTTTCTCAATCTTGGAAACCCGAAGATATCAACTTCTAGAACTTCTGCTGGAACTGAACTATATGCATCTTCAAGCTTCCCAGGCTAAGAAACCGTCATCTAGAGACTTTCTCATCTGGAGAAAAAGTGCAGAGAAGAGCAACCAAGACGATTAGGGGACTGGAGGCTAAAACATATGAAGAACGGCTGCTGGAACTGGGCACAGCTAGTCTAGTGAAGATGAACAGGGATGACATGATAGCAGTCTCCCAATATATGAGGGGCTGTCACAGAGAGGAGGGAGGGTCAACCTATTCTCCAAAGCACCAGAAGGCCAGACAAGGAATAAGGGACGGAATTGATCAAGGAGAGATTCAACCTAGAAATAATGAGGAACATGGAACAGACTGGCTTCAGAAGTTGTAGGAGCTTCATCTCTGGAAGCTTTCAAGAGGAGACTGGACTAACATCTGTCAGAAATGGTGTAGAGTCTCCCTGCCTGGATGGGGGAGGGTTGGATTAGATGACCTACAAGGTCCCTTCCAACTCTGCTATTCTACTCTATTCTAGTCTAGTCTAGTCTAGTCTAGTCTAGTCTAGTCTAGTCTAGTCTATTCAATATTCTATTCTATTCTATTCTATTCTATTCTATTCTATTCTATTCTATTCTATTCTATTCTAGTCTAGTCTATTCTACTCTATTCCATATTCTAGTCTAGTCTAGTCTAGTCTAGTCTACTCTATTCCATAATCTATTCTATTCTATTCTATTCTATTCTATTCTATTCTATTCTATTCTATTCTATTCTATTCTATTCTATTCTATTCTATTCTTCTGTTCTGCATTCTATTCTGCTCTATACTCTACTCTACTCTACTCTACTCTTATTCCATTCCATTCCATTCCACTCCACTATATATAAAATATTTTTTAAAAAAGACTCAGTGTTATCTTTGGACTGGGGACAACCTGCCTCCAAATCCTGGTCACAGAAGAACAATGAACGGCAAGAGAAGAGCGCCTTTCCATCTTCTGCTTGCAAGCATCCTCAAAGTATCCTACTAGCCATTGTGGGAACCCAAGTCCACTCCCCACCAGCGCTTTCTATCATCTACCTACCCTGAGGCCTTCTGGAAGAGGGAAAATGAAACCTGTCTAGTTTAGCACAATGATGGTTGAGGGATTGTCATTGTGAGCCCCCCCCCCTCCCGTGACTGGACTGGGTAGACCCTGGCCTGATCCAGCAGGGCTACTCTTGGGTGATCTGAGATCCAGACGTTCATCACGGGCCATGCAAACATTGATTTGCAATGGTAACATGTGTGCCCGTGTCTTCTTCCCCAGATTTTACAGGTCAATATTTATTCTCATCCTGCCCTACGCCTCGGTAATGCCTGACCACAATACCCATGTTGTGAAGCTCCAGTGAACTCTGCCTTGAGCCTGAAGAGGTGAGGGCATCCTTCACATATGTCCCCCTCCCCCGGGTCTCTCAAAATAACTCACTGCCCAGTGATCAAAATAGGAAACCGAAGTGAACGGTGTTGGCACTCAAGTCACAACCCGTTATTCGGTTGTCCCACGCATTCAGGCCCACCAGTTATTCCCCCTCCTCCTCCTCCTCCTCCTCCTCCTCCTCCTCCTCCTCCTCCTCCTCCTCCTCCTCACTTTGCTTAAGACCAAACTAAGCCAAGAATAGAGATCCCACAATTTCTTTCCAAGGCATTTTTTCCTCTTATTATAGATAAACTCTGCTGATTGAATCACCAAATACCTTCTAGTTTTCAAATAATCCAGCAAAGAGGAGGGAGGGAGGGAGGGAGGGAGGGAGGAACGAAAGAAGGAAGGAAGGAAGGAAAAGGGAAGGGAAGGGAAGGAGAGGGGAAGGGAGGGGGAAGAAGGAGAGGAAGAGGAAGGAAGAAAAAGGGAAGGGAAGAGAAGGAGGGAGGGAGGAGGAAGGAAGGAAGGAAGGAAGGAAGGAAGGAAGGGGGAAAGGGAGGGAGGGAAGAAGGAGAGGAATAAGGAAGGAAAAGGAAGGGGAGGTGGGAGGGGAGGAAGGAGAGGAAGAGAAAGGAAGGAAAAGGGAAGGGAAGAAGGGGAGGGCAAGGGAGGGAGGGAGGAAGGAGGGAGGGAGAAGAAGAGGAAGGAAGGGAAGAGGAAGGGAAGGGAAGGGGAAGGGAACGGAGGCCGGCCCGTTTTTGCTTTTGCAGCGGGCGGGCGCTTGGGTTCTCCGCGATAGAGGGGAAGGAAGGAAGGAAGGAAGGAAGGAAGGAAGGAAGGAAGGAAGGAAGGAAGGAAGGGACCAATCCCGAAATCATTTCCCGAAAGCCAACCTACTGCACAAAAAAAAAAAAAAAAAAGGCATCATGGCGGGCGCAAAAGTTTTCAAGGATGAGCTAACTTTTCCGCACGCTTTCCCCAAGTCCTTCCCTTCCCCGTCCCGTCCCGCTCCCTCCCCCCTTCCTTCCCTCCTTCCCTCCCTCCCTCGCTCGCCTCTCCTCCCCTCCTCCTTCCCTGGGCAGAGCCAGCCGTCAAAAGTCAAAACTCCCTCCGGCTGAATCCCGAGGGTCGCGCGGCAAAGACGCCCCCTCCTCTTTCTTCTCCACCGACCCCCCCTTCCAGACTTCCCGCAGAGCATTTTTGCGGGGCGGGGCGGGGGGGGGTCTGAGCCCACCCCTCACACCTACCCACCCACCCACACACACACACACACACACCATCCCCGGGGGAGCCGCTCACCTCGCTCCTTTGGAGCTGCAGGAAGCTGTTCAGGTAGCTGGAGCTGAGCGCAGAGGTGCCCAGTTCGGCGCTGCCCTTGTTGGGGTAGCTGAGCTCCGAGTGCTGGGCGGAGGAAGACTCCGGGCGGAAGGCGTCGAAGGCGCTGGCCTGGTGCGTGTCTTGCAAGGAGAGGTAGACCCAGTTGAGCAACTGGGCCGGCTGGTAAACGGAGGCGGCGGTGGTCTCGATGGCTGACAAGAGGCTCATCCTTGCCCCTTCCTCCTCCTCCTCCTCCTCCTCTTCCTCTTCTTCCTCAACTGCCTGGGGACCGCTGGGCTGGCTCCCCCTCTTCTCCCGGGGGGGCGCCTTCCTTCCCCAGCTCCAGGGAAGGAAGGAAGGCAAGCGGGGAAACGGCGCCCTCGGGCTTCTCTCCAGCCCCGTCGCAGCTCAGCCTCGCCCTGCCTTGCCTAAAGCGCCCCGGGACCCCCCAGCCGCGGAGCACCGCTCCCCCCCAGCATAGCTGCCGACCCACTCGGGCGCTTCCAGCCGCGGGAGTCGCTGGGCAGCGGCGAAGTTCTTTGCAGGCGCCTTGACTTGCCTCCTCCTCCTCCTCCTCCTCCTCCTCTTTCCCCCCCCCTCCCGCCGGCTGCCCTGGCCCTCCACCTCTCCTGGCCTACGAGCCCGACCCGCTATCTGCCTTTATCCTCACTCCCTCCTTCTCCGGGGCGGAGGGAAAGGCTCGCGCGCTACTTCAGCACCACCTCGTTGCAAGAGGAATCAGTGGAAGAGGGGTGGGGGGGGGGAGGACGGGCCCGAGCGGGGGACAGGAGGGGAAGGGGATGGAGGGGAGGACCGAGAGAAGGAAGGCGATTGGTGGCTGAAAAGTTCCGGGCCTGGGAAAACTTGGAATGTTGGGGAAGGGGTGGGCCGATCGGAGGAGAAGCGGAGCGCCTGCTTTCCCCTTGCTCTTCTCTCTCTCTCTCTCTCTCTCTCTCTCTCTCTCTCTCTCTCTCTCCTCCACCAACGCCACTCACCCCGAAAAACGTAGACACCTCTTCTTACTTGTCGGTCTCGTCTGGAGCCTGCCGGGCTTTGAGAAGGACTTTCCTGAGTCAAGCTTGTCCTTTTGACAGGCTCCCTTCTCCTTCCAGCTGTGGCCAACGTTGATTCTGCCAGGCGACTTTTTCAGCTGGATTGAAAGTGGGTGGAAGTTCCCGTTTCCAACAGCCGGGAACTGGACGTGCTTGTAAGGAACTCTGTTATTGCCAACAGTGGCGGGAGACATTCTTGAATAGAGTAGGGTAGGGTAGGGTAGGGTAGGGTAGAGTAGAATAGAATAGAATAGAATAGAATAGAATAGAATAGAATAGAATAGAATAGAATACAGAATGGAATAGAATGCAGAATAGAATAGAATGCAGAATAGAATAGAATGCAGAATAGAATAGAATGCAGAATAGAATAGAATAGAATGCAGAATAGAATAGAATGCAGAATAGAATAGAATAGAATGCAGAATAGAATAGAATGCAGAATAGAATAGAATAGAATAGAATAGAATGCAGAATAGAATAGAATGCAGAATAGAATAGAGTTGGAAGGGACCTTGGAGGTCATCTAGTCCAACCCCCCCACCCAAGTAGGGGACCCTACACCAAGCTCATTCAACCTTCATTCTCTCAGACATTCAAAGTCAAAAACTCAACAAAAATGTTATATTAGCTTTATTCTAATAGAAAACTGATCTCACATTGTTTAAAACAACCCTTCAATGTGTATCAAGCCAGCTATTCCAGACGTCCCATAAATAACATCATAAAAATAAAATAATATTGCATTTTATCAGCTTCCTTCAACAACTTCTTTTTTTTTTAAAGGCCTAGGAAATGCAGTTCATTCCTCCGAAACCTCCAACAAACTTAGAACTTCAGAAGGTTCAATAGCATCTGGACCAAATAAACTGAATAATAAATGCTTAGGTTGATTAAGCTGCCAGGAAACACACTGAGATAAATCATACTCATTCTGTAATCCTGACATTTTCATTGACTCAAGCACCATGGCTCCAAAATTCCTTTTTTTTTTCTTTTTCTTTTTTTTTTCAGTCAGCCAAATCTAGCACAGAGTCTGCCCAAAAGAAATTGTTTTGATTTCAGTTTAGGGAAATGCTTTTTTTGCAAAAATAATATTTCTTGAAGCATCAAAACAATTTTCTTTTAAAAAAAAGAAAGGATATGTTGACCTGTGATTTTGCTCATGCACACATAAAGACCGAGAAAGGCTGCTTCTTGAAAGGTACCATCTTCTCCTTGTTTCAAAACTTTTTTTTTTTTTTTTGCTTCAAATGTCGTAATTTACAGCTTGCTCCATTTTTGACAGTACGCAACTCAGTGAGAACCTGTGTGGGGATTTTTGACCATTAAGATTTCTCTTTAAAAAGGAAATCACAGGTACATATTTATATATAATAAGTCTTTAGATTTATCTATGTATCTATATCATCTCTATATATCATTAATATCTGTCCATCTATCTATACCTATATCTATATCATCTATCTATTTATCTGCCTGTCTGCCTGCCTGCCTGTCTGTCTGTCTGTCTATCTCTCTGTCTGCCTGCCTGCCTGCCTGCCTCTATCTATCTATCTGTCTGTCTGTCTGTCTGTCTGTCTGTCTGTCTGTCTGCCTATCTATCTATCTATCTATCTCTATCTCTATCTCTATCTCTATCTATCTCTGTATCTATCTCTCTATCTATCTATCTATCTATCTATCTATCTATCTATCTATCTATCTCTATCTCTATCTCTATCTATCTCTGTATGTATGTATCTATCTATCTATCTATCTCTATCTCTATCTATCTGTCTCTATCTATCTATCTATCTATCATCTCCATATGTCTGTCTGTCTGTCTCTCGCTATCATCCATTTATCTATCTATCTATCTATCTATCTATCTATCTATCTATCTATCTAATCTCCATCTATATCAAATGCTATCCTACTGTATGTATAGGATACAGATATACTCCCGTTGTATGCTAGAGCATTATTTTTTCTCATTATCTATTGGCAGAAGTTAAGCCTACTTCTTACATGTTTGGTCCCCATTGGTAATTAGAAAGCATTTGAAATCATCATGGCTTAAAAAAAGCCTTGGGTCAAATTCATTCACTGGGTTTCTCTATGGAAAGTCTATGCTCATTAAGTTTGGGCAGTGCTAGAATAGCCCCCCCCCGAACAATGAACTTGAGTTATGGATCTCCCAATACATTTAAGCAAGGTGTCACACACACACCCCCCCTAATATTTAACATCTTCTTTTGAAAGGGTCTGCTCCCTTCTCTTATTTATCATCCATCCCAATTTTTAAATTTCACTTTAGCTAGGGTTGGGTGAATTGCCATCAACAGTCTTCTCTCCAATTCTGTCCATGTGCCGATGGCAGAACTGAACCGCTGGGCCACATGTTATTATGATGGTCCCTCTCTAAAGACTCTGGCGCAGGGGTCTTCAAACTGGGCCCTTTTATGACTTGTGGACTTCAACGCCCAGAATTCCTCAGCCAGGCATGCCACGTTTGCAGGAGCAGATTTTTCCCAGCAATCTCTTCCCACAGCCAAAGTGTTCACCTTCATGTGCTAATAATGCCTCGTCTTTAGCAAGAGGTTAAGTTGGTCCTTAGGTCAATGTTTTAAGCCCTTCCAGATGGCGCAAGGTTTTCTCTTCCTTGTTTATTTTCATGGGTTTGGAGGGGAAAGCATCTGTGACATGTTGATGCGATGAGCAAAAAAAGCTAAAGACTGAACATGTCTCTCTTTACCCAGAAAGAGGGTCGATCCGAACAGTTTCTTTGTTTATATTTTGGATGGGCAAAGAAAGGCAGGTAGATATTTCCCCTTCTGGTGGGTTAGGGTAAATTGCAGTGGTTAAAAGGAAGAAATCTCAGCCATGCCAAAATGTTCAGAATAAACAAAATGAAGCTTAGGAAAGTCAAAGCTTTTAAACAGTGGCCAAGGAATGTTACAATCACTTGGAGTTCTTTGGCCACATAAATGCATTGGTGGAACATCATAAGCCTTGATATTCTGCCCTTTGTTAATTTACCATTAAGTCCAATTTTGAAACATATTTTTAATTAGAGGAATGTCATGCCTGGAAGACTTATCCTCATGTACCTCAATACTCCCCACTAACCTTTTTTTTTGTTGTTGTTAAATGCCATGTCCTCATGAAGTTGTCTACAGCTCTTTCTTGGTCCACAGCTGAGGCAGCTTCAAGTTAACTTTTGATTTTTCGGATTTTAAAGTACATCTTTCCCAGATGTGATATTTTCCTAGCAAAATCTTGATTGTGGTCATTGTGGTTGTCGGGGAAGGGTGGTCAGGAGCTCCCATTGGCCATTTCAAGCTGCTGCAGGTATACCTTACTGGGCTACAGAAAAAAAGACCCATCGAACTGATTTTTGACAGCCACCATATTCTAGTCAACTAACGGTCAGCCCTAAATTGGCTCTAGATAATTGTTAATGGAATTCAAGAGGAGTTGGAATTAGATCACTTGTGGGAATGTAACGACTCTAGGCTGATTCCTCTCTTGACTCTGCCTTCAGGCTTTACCTGTCCTTCTTCACATGCTGGTTTATTTCATCTTTTTGCAGGGGTTCACACATTTTGGACTAAGACATTTAGAATAGAATAGAATAGAATAGAATAGAATAGAGTAGAGTAGAGTAGAGTAGAGTAGAGTAGAGTAGAGTAGAGTAGAGTGTAGAGTAGAGCAGAGCAGAACAGAGCAGAGCAGAACAGAACAGAACAGAATAGAATAGCAGAGTTGAAAGGGACCTTGGAGGTCTTCTAGTCCAACCCCCATCTCAGGCAGGAAACCCTATACTATTCCAAACAAATGGTTGTCCAGTCTCTTCTTAAAAACTTCCAGTGATAGAGGACCCACAACTTCTGAAGGCAAGCTGGTTAATTGTTCTCACGGTCAGGAAGTTTCTCCTTAATTCCAGGTTGCTTCTCTCCTTGATTAGTTTCCATCCTTTGTTTCTTGTCGTGCCTTCTGGTGCTTTGGGAAATAAGTTAACCTCCTTGTCTTTGTGGCTGCCCCCCCCCAAATATTGGAATACTGCTATTATGTCACATGTGGTCCTTCTTTTCCTTAAACTAGACATGCTGTTCTTCATATGTTTTAGCCTCCAGTTCTTTAATCTTCTTTGTTGCTCTTCTCTGCACTCTTTCCAGATCTTTCTTATAATATGGTGACCAAAACTGGATGCTACTTTGTTCACCGTGCTACTTCTTTCATTCCTTCATTACGGACTAAAATAAAATCAACGATTTGTAAATCTGATCATTACTTTGGATAATGAAAAAAAAAAAAAAAAGAGTGCTGAGTTATTGCTGTGAGAGAGCTATCCAAGTATTGCCAAAGAGTTTTCAGTCTTCCCCACCCCCAAGTGCTGGAATCCTTCAAGAATCTACAGTATAACACAACCAAACCCTCCCAACACCTTTTTGCTTGCCAAGCTGTTCTTTTTGGTCTTTTATTCACGATTGCTTGATATTTTATTGCTGTTTTAATAAGGTTACCCAAAACGTTACATTCTGGAGATTGAATGTCCACTTCCACCACTACCAGCCCCCAGCTAAACAAAGTGATTCATTAAAACAGCAATAAACTTTAAAACAGGTTTCTGTTGTGATTCTTTCTTTCTTTTTTCCTGGTTGACGAATTGTCTTGAAATTTATCTTTAATTGGAAGACGGGATCAAAATGAGTCTCGGTATAATAACTAGATAGGTCTATATTTTTTTTAGTGATGCGTTAGCTAACAAATGAGAACATCTATTAGGAAGTGGATCCTAACCTCGAAGCAGTTTTAAAGAGACTAGCTAGCTAGATCGACTGTCAATGAAAAAAAAAAAAGATTCAGGACAATCTCTTAAGTTGCACACATAAGATTTATTCAAGACTTTTTTTGTTTTGCTTTTTTTTGTTTTTATTTTAAGATATGAGAAACGTAAAAGCATTGGGATGGCTTGTATGAGGAAAAAGACTTAAATACTTAAGTGTAATTAACTCTAAGAAAACCTTAACAGGGAAAAATGTCTTTTGAACACTGCAGGGAAAACCAATTTAAATGAGAACTTTAAAAACAGGATCTATGACAAGGTGATTAAGATGATTAATTAGAAAAGGAGACATATTCATGTGGTTATTACTTGTAGAAATGCTAGAAAAATGTCTACATTCAATTGTTATCTACTAAAAACGACTAAGAAATGTACTAACTTAAGGTTGATAAAAGAGAATATGATTGGAAGAAGAGAAAAAAATCAAGAAAAGCTGTTATGCAGAGTAGGGAATTGTAGAAATTAATTTTTCTTGATTGTTTGTAAATATAAACCCAGACAACATGCAGTTTACCAAATATTAATGATGATTATGTTACAAAAAAATCAATAAAATCTATTTTTTAAAAAAGATTGAGGCCTTTGTCATAATGTCTTACAAGATTTGAAATTCCTTAGTAGTCATTGCTCGGCGCCAAATCAGGCTGTAGGGGATGGGTGTAATAAAAAACATCCTAACGGAACAGCTTCAAAAGTTCTTGGGTGTGTCTAGCGGTGTGTGGACGAGCATTGTCACGAACCAACACCACACCAGAAGTCAGTCAGCCCGACGCTTGTGATGGATGGCTCATCTGAGTTTTCCTAACGTTTCACAGCAGACATCTGAATGGATGGTCAAACCAGGCTCCATGAGCTCCACTAACCGTCCTCCTTTGGCACCTTCACATTTGGCAGGAATTTCTATGGCACCACTTCCAGTGTGATGTTGGTTCATGATACAATGCTTGCCCGCACACTGCTAGACGCCCTCAAGAACTTTTGAAGCAATTCTGTTGGCATGTTTTTGATCACACACAGACACACACACACACCATAGTCCAGATCTGGTGCCAAGCGACAACTACTAAGGAATTTCAAATCTTGTAAGACATTTATGACAAGGGCCTCAATTTGAATGGCGATGAGGTCAAAAAGTCATGTAATATTGTCATTTTCTAACCCGTATAATAAAAGTTCCGGATCGGCAAGTGTCTGTCACGGATAACCAAATGGAGGTTGATTTCTGAATTGCCCTCGTATATTTAAAAACCAGACCCAACACAGACCTGCCATCTTGCCTTGCTCAAGAGAAGGCTTACAACAGGCCTGCTTCAATCTGTTTACTTGCACTTACTAAAATAGATCACACGGATGCAAGTGGGTGTAATCGAAGCAGGACTAAGAATAGATCCAGCCCGGAGAGGCCCCTCCAGATCCTCTATCAACCCCCTCCCAGCAGGGGTGATTCCCTTCCTCTTTCAGAGTGGGAAGCAAAGGGCTTTGTTTGCTTACTCAGTCTTTGCCAGGGGCCATACGTCTTCCCGTCCTCGGTTTTGCTCTCCAATATATACAGGCCTCTTCCTGACAACTGGAATTTGCGCTTGAGACTGCCTATGTTGTCTTCCTGCAAAGCAGGAAACGGCCCCTTTTTCTGATTAAAGAGCAGCAAGGCTCTGGACCTCAGGAATTGAGTAAGGATGGCAGCAACTCTGTCTATTGCCTGGCTGCATGTCTAATCTATCTATCTATCTATCTATCTATCTATCTATCTATCTATCTATCTATCTATCTATCTATCTATCTATCTATCTATTCATCCACTCTCTCTTCCTATATCACTATCCATCCATCCATCCATCCATCCATCCATCCATCCATCCATCTATATCTATCTATCTATCTATCTATCTATCTATCTATCTATCTATCTATCTATTCATCCACACTCTCTTCCTATATCATCTATCTATCTATCTATCTATCTATCTATCTATCTATCATCTATCCATCTATCATTTATCTATCCATCTATCCATTTATCAATTCATCCACACTATCTATCTATCTATCTATCTATCTATCTATCTATCTATCTATCCATCCATCCATCCATCCATCCACTTATCTACCTAGTTATAAGATCTAGATCTAATAATTATAATAATAAATTAGATCTACTAATTTCTCTCTCTCTCTCTCTCTCTCTCTCTCTCTCTCTCTCTCTCTCTCTCTTTCATACACACACACACACACATACCACAGGATTTTCCAATCTGGACAACTTTCAGATGTATGGCCTTCAACTCTTTGCAAAGCTATTGTGAAAATTCCCTTCTCTTCTTTTGCACAACCCTCCACATTTGTGCTCAGAAGTGACCACAACCCAATGAATTAAGAAGGGCAAAATAATGGCGTGCTCTATGCATTCTGTCACAATAATTGTTTTTAATCAATAGAACACCTAAGCTATATTAAGTATTTCGCTAGGGAGAGAAGGAGGGAGGCAGGCAAGGAGGCAGGCAAAGAGAAAGAGAGGGCAATGTTATTTGCAAAAATCATCTTCCATGTCCTATTTTTTTCTGGATACCAGCAGCTTCCTTCAATTTTAGCTCCCACTCCTGTGCCTGACACTGTTTTCTCTTCATTAGACCCCCCTTAGTGCAATTTGAAATATTTCAGTAACCGATCTGTCCCGGGTACAATGAAACCATGAAAAGCACATTTTTCCTCCCAGAGTGAAGGACTGCCTTGTCTCTTCCAAATTTCCAATATATCTTGTGTCACCCTACTGCAAGACACAATGAATTACAGGGCAGGCCATAAACACTGGGCTGTTTGATGGCCACCAGGCTTCTCTGCTTTAATTGTCTTGAAATTCTGGACAATTAAGGACAATAGCATCTATCTCCGCAGGGGAGTGGCTCAGCAGAATGGGTGATGTACATGACTTCAAGGAAAGCCGATGCTGCTTCTGTGCGACCTTAAACATCTCACGTTCTTCTGTGTCTGTTGAGTAAATACAGATAGCCCCCAACTTACAATGGTTTGTTTAGTGAAATACATGAAGAAGCAGAGATACAAGAAGAAAAGAAGGACCCAAGGAAACACTGGGCGTAAAATCAATCAATCAATCAATCAATCAATCAATCAGAATAGAGCTCAAAAGGACCTTGGAGATCTTCTAGTCTGACCTCCTGCTCAAGCAGGAGACCCTAGACCATTTCAGACAAGTGGCTGTCTAGACTCTTCTTAAAAGCCTCCAGTGATGGATCACCTACATCTTCTGGAGACCAGCCATTCCACTGGTTGATTGTCCTCACTGTTAGGAAGTTTCTCCTTAATTCCAGGTTGCTTCTCTCCTCCATTAGTTTCCACCCATTGTTTCTTGTATCAAGTCTGCAGAAAATAAATCTGGGATCCTCTGAAGGAAATCAAAACTCACTCCAGGTTTTGTAATGCAGAAAATATAACCATGTGTGCTTCAGTGAAGACTTTTGTTCTACTTTATGGTTGACGTTAGACTGCCAAATATTTCCTGCTTTATTTTCCCTCCCCCACTAAATTCCTAAATGCTCCCTCTGTAGCTTTTCTTCAGAATTGCAATATTTCTCTCCTAACCAAGGGGCTGCTCAGCTGGTTTCAGTTATCTTTGCAAGGATTTTATTAACAGACACTGTCCAGTGGAGTCACACTTCATAAAAGGCTTGGCCAACTCACATAATGTATTGCTCTGGATTAAAGGGCTGTACTTGAGTCCCTATCGTACTTTTCCAGTGCCCACAGATTAAAATGAGGATACACGTACACCCAGTCCTGGCTTGGAACTGCTGGGAAGGCGGGAAGGCACTCAAGAGACTTGCCAGGTATGTGTCCACTTTCACAGAAAAGAAAAACTAACCTTTAGCTACACCCTGCTTCAAGTAACTAAAGATCGTATCTGTGTTATTCCAGAACAGTCTGTCCAACAATGACTAAGGAGACCTTGGTTGGGAACCATCTGCAATTCAGCAAAGGCTCCAACCCACTCAGCATGGGTAGCACGCTTGGCTTTGTAAGAAGGCCCCCCTCCCTAGATTATAATATTCTTTATTCTTAATATTAAAAAGAGGTAGAATCAGTGGTGGCATTCAGCCAGTTCGCATCACTTCTGCAGAACCGGTAGCTAATTTTTTGTTGCCCAGGCCCAGAATGGACTTCCGGAAGCAGCATCCACACACGGAAAAACCAGCTGTTCACATATTTAAATCCCACTACTGGGCAGAATATTATATTTCCCCAAAGGAAAAATGGAGGAAAAATCTCTTAACAAAGGCAGAAAGCAACCCCAGTGTTTCTGACTAGCCTCAAGCAGAACCTCAAGTCTTTAGAATTGGATATTTTGCACCTATTAAGAAAGACTGGGCACAATCTGTTCATAAACAAAATGCCTTCAGCCTCCCACAGCTGATGGGATTAAGAATTTACATTCCCCCACCCAAATTCTAAGGACGGGACATGACCTTTAGGACATAATAGGATTTCCCCGCCCTCATTAGAATAGCGAAAGACACAGAAGCCCACTACATTGCACAACCCCCTGGCGCATCTCAATCAGAAGGTATAAAAATCCACCTGCTCTCAACTTCATTTTGCCAGCTGGGCCAGAACTGCATGCTGTTGCTGGTTCTGCTCATCAATAATAATAATAAAAAAACTTCTTTCCTAAGCAGCCTCCATTTTATTTCCTGCATCTTAGCCTCCATTTTATTTCCAGTGTTTTACTCCCAGCTTGGAACTGAACCTGATCTTATTTTCAGCAGAGTCAGAAACACACATTCAATACAATGTATGGAAAATACAAAGAAATGAAGATAACTGTAGGATAAATCCCAGTATCTAAAGCATAGCAGTGTCCTCTATGTAGAAATTTCCTAACCATGAGAACAATTAACCAATGGAATGGCTTGCCTCCAGAAGGTATGGGTGCTCCATCCTTGGAGACTTTTAAGAAATAATTGGACAGGCATTTTTTTTGGAATGGTATAGGATCTCCTGCTTGAGCAGGGGGCTGGATTAGAAGACCACCCAGGTCCCTTCCAGCTCTGTTCTGATTCTGGTTTTTAGAATACTAAGTTTTAAACAGATGGATGCCAATTCCACCAGGAGCCCATGTGATGCACGCAAATATAACACTAAGGCTTTGCAGATTGCTTAATAGCTAAGACTCGGGACTTTGGAAACCATCCAGCCTTCTTGTTCAACTCAAAGATAGTCTATTTAAATTCTTTCCTAGCCTCAAAAGTGTTGGTGATACAACAAATAGCTTTGTTTGTGCAAGCGAACAAGGGACAACCTCATTCTTTTTTTTCCCTCTTTGTTCTGATTTCCCTTATTGGAACGCTGATATTCTTGAATATTCTTCTATTTCCTACAGGAACAACTATTTTCTTCCTTTGCCTAAATAGAAACTTCAGGGAATGTGTGGAGTGGTGTGTAAATTTGCCGGAGGCCAGGATAGAAAGATATGAAGAGGTATGATGAATATTTATGGGTTTTAACTCTCTTACTTTGTTTTGATCTCAGTGATTTTTAACTACAGCAAGAGAAGAGAATTTATGTTTTACTTAAAGGAGAAGTCTTGGTGCTTACTTTGATATCTAACTGCTCAGGATTTCCAGAACCAATGTTCTGTTCTCTATTAGAGATGCTGTCGGTTAAATTCAACCCCTGTGGGATGTCAGCCCCCCAGAGAAGGAAATATTAAAAGAGCAGAAAAATATATTTCCTCAAAGGATTCTTAAAGAGGCAGAAAAGCATGCCCAGTTTTCTTAATAGCCCCAAGTCTCCCTCCCCCAAGCAGAAACCAGCTCTGTGGAAACGCAGGTGTAAATAATCCAGGAAGGTTGGAGGCCCCCCAACTAGAAAATTAAGAAGACAAAGACACTTAAAATCTACATACCCCGTGCAAACTCTAAGACAGGACAAAATAGGATTAACCCACAGATGCCAAAGGGACACAGGTCAAAATACATGACACAGGAAATACAAAGCCTCAAACAGGAACAGGAAACAACCTCAAGAGCCCCAGAGGGTATAAAAACCCACTCCCTACATGTGCTCTCACTCTTTTCTTCCAGAGCCATCTTTCTGTCTGGCTCTCCTCTTCAATAAAATGCAACCTTCTTTCTAAAGCAGTCACCATGTTGTTTATTCCCAGCTTGGACTGAACCATGATGAAGACTTTTCCTTCAACAACCCAAAACAAAAAACCCACAACATCTAGAAATGCAAGAAAGTTCTCTGGTGGTTGTTGTTTTTTTTTTGTTTTTTTTTACTTTCCCATTTCCCATTTACAAAAGGTTGGACAGAAGTACATTGGCAGTTCAATTCCCCACTAAACGCTCTCCGTGATTACATTTTAAACTAAAAGGAAATATTGCGTATAGCTCAGACCACATTTGCCATTGGAGAAGATGAAGGATGAACATTCTGTGCCAGAATAAGAGATAAAATAAAAGAAATTCTTCTTGTTTGCAATTTTTCATGCTGGGGATTGATGAGAGTTGGGATCCAAGGCATCTGGAAGACACAGAGCGGTGGAAAGCTGATCTTGTTTGTCTGCCAGTCCCTGGAGGTTGCGTTCATTTTGAAGCACACCAAATTCATTCAAGAACTGCTCAGCTTACTTTATTTCAAAATATCTGAATGGCCTCTGCTATCTTGAGAGAATCATGCACGCTAACCTTTTCCACCCTCCCTCCATCTCAAACACTTTAAGCCATTCTTGTCATAGCCGGGCTGCAATTAATCACACCAGATGAAAGATTTCTCCATTTTAAGGGAAAAATACCGGTAATAATTTACTAGTGCATGAAGAAAAGGCTCCCTCTGTTGGTGAACTGTTCAAACTCCAACTTAGAATAACAGACTTGGAAGGGACCTTGGAGGTCTTCTAGTCCCACCCCCTGCTCAAGAAGGAGACCCTCTTCCCACATCATCTGGTCAGCTAGAGTTTGCAATGCATTGTTTATGATGGACCACCAGTGAGCTACCATAGGAGGGCAGCACAAGTCTGTGTAAATCAGTTTCGTTCGGGTTATATTGCATTTCCTCCTATTTTGTCCTGCTTTGACTTAGGATCTTTGGCTACTCCTGACCAAAGAATTTCTCCTTGTTTGCAATTTTTTATGCAGCGATTTATGAGAGCTGGAATCCAAGACATCTGGAGGACACAAAGCTGTGGAAGCTGATGTTGTAGATGTAAGGTGAGGTGGAGATTCAGCTCTCTGGATGTGGTAGATGACCAGGCTGAGTCTGAAGAAGGAATCAAGTGTGTTATCAGTCTCGGGCCTATAAGAGATCTAAGCCTCTAGTGATGAAGCATCCACAACTTCTGGACACAACTTCCATTCCGCTGGTTGATTGTTCTCACTGTCAGAAAAAATTCTCCTTATTTCTAGGTTGAATCTCTCCTTGATCAGTTTCCATTGTTCCTTGAGCTTTCTGAGTTGGCACAGAACATTCTTTGTTGTGCTTTTTTCATGATATTTTTGATGTTAGGTGTCAATTTTGAGATATTATAGAACAGACATGTCAAACTTGCAACGTCATGTGACATCGCACAACGTATCGGGAGGGTTTTGCCATTGCCGGCAATGGGGTGGCTTCTGGATGACGCGTCCAGCTCACGGGACAGCAGTTTGACATCCCTGTTATAGAGCCTAGAAATTTGAAGGTCTCTACTGTTGATACTGTGTTGTCAAGTATTGTAAGACAATAGAATGGGAGAATAAGAGTGTTTCTCCTAAAAATTTACTATCCTTTCTACAGTTTTGATTGTGTTTAGTTCAAGATTGTTCTGGCTGCACCACAAGGCTAGTTGTTTAATCTCCTGTCTGCATGCAGCTTCATCATTGTCTCAAATGAGGCTAATCACTGTTGTACCATCTGCAAACTTCAGCACTTTGACAGAGAGATCCTTTAAGATGCAGTCGTTGGTATATATCAGTGTTTCCCAAACTTGACAATTTTAAGGCATGTGGACTTCAACTCCCAGAATTCCACAGCCAGCATTTCTGGCTGTGGAATTCTGGGAGTTGAAGTCCACATGCCTTAAAATTGTCAAATTTGGGAAACACTGGTATATATAGAGAGAAAAGAAGTGGAGAGAGCACACGGGATGGCAATTATGTCAAAAAGTAACGTAATGTTGTAGTTTTCTAGTGTGTATAATAAAAGTTCTGTATCTGTGAGTGTCTGTCATTGATAACCAAATGGAGGTTTATTTCTGAATTGCCCTCGTAGGTAGTCCTCGCCTTGGGATCCCAACATTCCTGTTGCCAAGAGGACAGTTGTTAAGCCTTTCTTGTAGGCTTCCTCTTTGGCATGACATAGCTGCTTGAATTTAGCCATGAACCAAGGCTTGTTGTTACTGTGTATTCACAGATTTCGGGTTCAGCACACCTAGCTCTTCACAAAAACTAACATACGATGTTACAGTGTCTGTGAGTTCATCCAGGTCTCCAGAGGTATCTTTGGAAACGTTCCAGTCTGTGCTATCAAGGCAAGCCTGCAACTTTAACTTTGCCTCCTCAATCCAAGACGTCACTGATTTAATGGTTGGTTTTGTGGTTTTCAGCCTTTGTCTATAAACAGCTACAAGGTAAATCACACAATGATCAGAGTGTGTCACAGCTGCTCATGGTTAAAAACCGATAAGCATCTTTTAATGTTGTGTAGCAGTGGTCTAAAGTGTCTTTGCCACTAGTAAGGCAGTTGACATGCTGAAAGTATCTTGGTAACTCTTGGCTTAAGTTAGCCCTGTTGAAATCTCCTAACACAACGAGGAGCGAGTCTGGGTATCTCTCTTCAGCCCACATCATCTGGTCAGCTAGAGTTTGCAATGCATTGTTTATGATGGACCACCAGTGAGCTACCATAGGAGGGCAGCACAAGTCTGTGTAAGTCAGTTTCGTTCGAGTTATATTGCATTTCCTCCTATTTTGTTCTGCTTTGACTTAGGATCTTTGGCTACTCCTGACCAAAGAATTTCTCCTTGTTTGCAATTTTTTATGCGGCGATTTATGAGCTGGAATCCAAGACATCTGGAGGACACAAAGCTGTGGAAGCTGAGTTGTAGATGTAAGGTGAGGTGGAGATTCAGCTCTCTGGATGTAGGAGATGACCAGGCTGAGTCTGAAGAACGAATCAAGTGTGTTATCAGTCTCGGGCCTATAAGAGATCTAAGTGCAGCCCACCTTGAATTCCATTGACTTTTATCTACCATCAATTTGCTTTGACTGTCAGTAGTTCAGAAACTCCCTTTTTATGACCCTGTAATCTCTTATTTCAGGGTAAAGTCTGGGCAACTGGATGGAGCTGAGCGTTTATCAACTGGATGCCCTTCCTGATGCCTACGCAGAGTTCACAGCTACCTAGGATTGAACTTTCAACCTTCTGAATGGGAGGCGAATGTCTTCACCACTAGGCTAACACACCACTCTAGCTTTAGCATACAATAACCCTATATATTCATTTGAACTGCCTGGCTTCCTGATTTCTTGAGCTTGACACTTGAGGCGGCCTTTCCTACTGGTTGAAAACTAATACATTTAGGAAGCTCTTCAGAGTCTAGGCCAGGGGTAGGCAACCTTGGCTCTTTTATGACTCATGGACTTCAATTCCCAGAATTCCTTCTGCCAGCATGGCTCAGCTTGGAAACCTCTCCCTTTCCCCTCAGTATGGCTGGCTCAGGAATTCTGGGAGTTGAAGTCCATGTGTCATAAAAGAGCCAAGGTTGCCTACCCCTGACTAGGCTGCTTTATGACTCGTGGACTTCAACTCCCAGAATTCCTGAGCCAGCATGGGGGAACTATGGCCCCTTCATGACTTGTGGACTTCAACTCCCAGAATTCCTGGGCCAGCCTGGCTCAGCTTGGAAACCTCTCCCTTTCCCCTCAGTATGGCTGGCTCAGGAATTCTGGGAGTTGAAGTCCACGAGTCATAAAAGAGCCAAGATTGCCTACCCCTGGTCTAGGCAGAACCCGCATCCTTACAAATTTAACCCATTGGCTTTGGTCCTGCCAGTATCCAAGAAATCCACACCATCTACTCCGTGACAACCTATCAGATGCTTGGAAACTGCTATCATATCTCCTCTTTGTCATTTCTTCCTTAGATGCTTTTATCAAGTCTTCTTTAATCTTGCTTCCAGATCTCCTTAGTAATTGTCCCCTGAACATACCTCAAATTGTCACTGTCCTTTTGTAACTGTGGTGCCCAGGATGTAAGATTTCAAAAGCAGGTGTCACAGGTAGCCAATTTTGAAAAAAAAAAAAATAAGCAAGATTGGACCGGGTTAGTACTTGGAAGTTAGCTTCCAGAAAATCCCAAGATTATTCTGAAAAGCCTTGCGGAATAGAAGAAAGTCTATTAGCTTTGATCTAAGAAATGGAAAAAAGCATACAGACAAATATGAGGGGTATGTTCATAGCTCAAGAATGTCTTTTGTATCTGCGGATCTGATCCGCCCTATTAGTGACTCAGAAACCAGGCCTCCAAAACTAACATTGAAGTTCCGGTTCTTACAGGTGCAGAGAAACCATTTGGGACATGGGTCAACTCCAGTGCTTTGAACAATGCTCAGAAACTGACTAGTTCTCAAGGTCTGATTCTCACCAGAGTGTTGATCCAGCTGAAATTTGCAGGTATCTTGAAAGACTGCTCTATAAAGAGAAGGTTTTTGCAGTAATTATCTAAAATAAATTCAGGACGTGCCCGGCCAAGATTATTCCTGCTTTCTCAAAAGAGAGTCTTAGCCTGGGACTACATCAAAGCTGACAAACTTCAATCCTGGCTTTTGACAATACTTGGTCATCCCAAATAAGGCAGGTTTGAACAGATTCCCCAGATGGAAGACCCAACTCTTCAGATATTGTCCAACCACTTCAGCAGCAAGTTAAGCTCTCCGAAGAAACCAAGTTACGATGGATCTGAATGAAGTTGCAACTTGTTCACCCTCATCCACCCCTTTCTCGGCTAAGTATGCGTTCACACGTTCTTTGCCTCCTACTTCAATTTAGATGATGGCAAGAAGAAACTATAACTGAACATTGGCTGCTGTCACGATGCATCAGTCTAGACATCTGGGCAAAGTTTTATGTACAATATAAAAAAGATGGAAGGAAAGTCTGAAGACTGCAGGTATTGTCAGTTCTTAGCTATTAAGTTCAGGAATTCAAGATAGCTCCAGAGTCATCATGAAAGTCACACTGAATAGAATAGAATAGAATAGAATAGAATAGAATAGAATAGAATAGAATAGAATAGAATAGAATAGAATAACAGAGGTGGAAGACACCTTGGAGGTCACCTAGTCCAACCCCCTGCTCAGGTAGGAAACCCATACATTTCAGTCAAATGGTTGTCCTATCTCTTCTTTAAAATGTCTAGTGTTTGAGCATTCACAACTTCTGGAGGCAGGTTGTTCCACTGGTTAATTGTTCTAACTGTCAGGAAGTTTCTCCTTAATTCTAGGTTGCTTCTCTCTTTGATTAGTTTCTATCTGTTGCTTCTTGTCCTGCCTTCAGGTGTTTTGGAGAATAGCTTGACCCCCTCTTCTTTGGGGCAGCCTCTGAGATATTGGAATACTGCTATCATGTCCCCCCTCGTCCTTCTCTTCATTAAATTAGACACACCCAATTCCAGCAACGGTTCCTTATATGTTTTAGCTTCCAGTCCCCTGATCATCTTTGTTCCTCTTCTCGGTACTCTTTCTAGAGTCTCAACATCTTTTTTACATCGTGGTGACCAAAACTGGATGCAGTATTCCAAGTGTGGCCTTACCAAGACCTTGTAAAGTGGTATTAACACTTCAAGTGCCAGAAGCAGGGTTGGAAGCTTGCTCAGGCTACTGCAGGATGCTGCAACTGTAAACTTAAGCTGCTTGCCAAGTGCTCAGATTACAATTATGTGATCATGGAGCAATTATGTGACCATGGTATGAAGGTCATAAGTCACTTTTTTCAGCACTGTCGTAACTCTGAACCACCATTAAATAAATAATCGTTAAATCAAGTTCTACCTCTAATAAGGCTCAGTTGCTTCCTTGAACTTTTAGAAGTGAGCTCCACCTTAGATTTCAAAGCAGCTTGGAAAGAACGCTGCATTCAGACCAGTGCTGGGATTCAAATAGGTGAACAACCGGTTCTCTGTGTGGATGCCGCTTCCAGAAGTCCATTCTGGGTCCGGGAAACACAAAATTAGCTACCGGTTCTGCTGAAGTGGTGCGAACCAGTTGAATCCCACTACTGCCTGCCTCCCTTCCATGACCTTCTGACCTCCCTCCCTCCTTCCTTCCTTGACCTTTCTTCCTTCCCCTCCCTCCCTTCCATGACCTTCCAACTTCTTTCCCTCC